ATTTAAAGTCGAAGGACCACACGAGCGCTGTGTATAAGAAGTCTCTTCGCATTTTGTGGGCATTGAAGCGAAGTTTTTCGATGTGGACGGAAGAGTTAGTTTTAAAACTGTATCCCACCATGATCCGGCCTATATTGGAATATGGTGCACCAGCTTTCTCCCCACTTACGAAAGACGAAGCCCGAAAGCTCGAACGTGTCCAACACCTCGTTACAAAGATGGTTCCCAGTCTGCGGAGTCTTTCTTATTCTGAGAGATGCAGCAAACTGAAATTGTTCACACTTGAATACAGACGTCTCCGGATTGATCTCATCTATGTTTTCCGTGTTTTGTGCCTAAACCATTTTCCGCAGTTGATGTTCTTGTTTGACATTCCAACAACCAACATCACCCGATGACATCGATCTAAACTTACTGTCACATGCATGGACAATGTGCCTCATGGGTACAGTTTCTCTCGTCGCGTTGTGTCATTTTGGAATCGTTTACCGGCAAATGTCGTTCAGTCAGAAACAGTTCAAATTTTCAAACGTAATTGGGATGGACATTTATCTGATCTATGCTTCTGTGAGGATATCTCCCGCTCTGGTCCCGAAAGTCAGCTATTCCACTAGCGGACCAAGGGTGTACATGGAATGATATTCGCATTTTTTTTCTCGATGGAGTGTACACAGAATTTTTCTTTTGCTCCAAATATATTATTCTGACCACAAATTCGTTAGGGTATGGTGTCCCCGTGAACGTATTTGCGCCATCCACAGTTCTTTTGTTATAAACGGCATTCAGAAGTTGTCCGAAGTGTTAAAGTTCACCAATCCAACCCAGACCTAAGAGTTCGAGGTTTATGAATTGGACGAGATAGCTCAGTTGTATCACCCCTTCGTTGCTAGCTGCCATGCCACGCAAAGGAAGCAAGAGGGCTCGGATACTTCCGGGTTGTGCAAGCCTATAAAGGGGAAGTCCTGAGTATGTCAGACTTGAACTACGGACCTTCCGGCCAGTAGATCCGCGCTCTAACCATCGAGCCGTTCCGCCCCGAAGTAGTAGGCACCATTCAAAGGAATCCCATTGAACGTCACGAAATTATTCACCTTTCCGTTTGCTTCTAGACCCTCGTCAGATGCGTTACGAACGGTGCTTTTTGTGCGTTCAACTAGTGGCCAAGTTTCTTTTCAAGTTGGAGGTAACAGAAATTGCATCAAATTGGAGAGTAACAGGCGTTCCACTGGTCCACACCTTGATAAATTTTTGTCAGACCTTTGATCTCATCCTGGATGTGGCAGTCACGGTCCCTGAGGGTGTTCATTTTCTGGGCCATTGTTTTGACAAGGTCCTGAAGTTGGCTCTGTGGCATTCTTCTTCGTGCTTGTTTCGATTGCACCTGTTTCACCCGTTGCTCAATGGGGAAAGTCATGTGAATAGCGCGATTCGTCACTTGACCGACGGGTGGTTTTCCTGTGGTCGTTTCAAAACCCGATTGTCCGTTGAAGTTCTCTTTCCAGGTTTAAAGGACTGAGGATATTCCCTAACGGTCACATCAGCTTTAAGATTTGATTAATTATCCAAGTCTGAATGTCTGTCTATATTGGCGACCGAAGCCCGGGCCGAACGATGAGACCTTCGAAGTGATCTTCGGTAATAGTTTTGAGCTCAAAATGCTCGCATTCTTTTTTGACCATACTCATTTGTTTGACTATAAATAAATGAATATGAATAGATTGTTCAGCTGCATCACCCTTTCAGTGCCTAGCTGATTGAAGCATGAGGACTGCGATACTCTTAGGTCGCCCAGACCTAGACAGGAGAAGTCGAGATACAGAGGCCGGGTTCGATCCACGGAATTTCCCGTCGGAAAATGGTGGTCTAACCACTGAGTCATGTTGCATATGCGATTGAAAATTCGGTATCCTCCTTTGCGACCTCGAGACATCGATAACTTACGTTGGACAAGTGACTTTACCAACCAAGTATTCGGGTCATAACATTGATAACTTCCCGAAGCCAAGGTCGCGAAGGAGTCTACAGAGCATGAAAATCGTCAAACACAAGTTCCGTGGCAACTTTCCATGCGCCATCAAATTGAGCGAAGTCAGTTTGAAATATTCCCTCATATTTCGTGAAGCACTTTCTGAAAGCTTGTCGAGACAGCATACAAGTCGAGTTCAGTAATCCAGCTGAAGACGGAGATCTGTCCTGTTCATCGGAGGTCCAAGCTACAGTACGGGCTGTCTTGTTGTATGGCTGTGAGGCTTGGCCTATTCGAGCAGCGGAACTGAGACGTCTTGTTCGATAATCGTTGTCTCAGAACCATAGCTCGTGTGGGTTGGTGTCGGCGAATCCGCAATGAGACAGTTAGAAATCGCGTTTTCGGTTGTGTAGCGGGTACTTCCATTGAAGAATGTGTCCAGCAGCAGAAGCTGCGTTGGTTGGGACATGTTTTACGCATGCCGAACCATCGTTTGCTAAAGAGAGTGCTGTTTTCCATGCCCGTTTCAGAGTGGCGTAAACAGAGAGGTGGCCAACCCTTGATTTGGCAGAGGAGTATGAAGGAGATCACGAAACGCTTGGGTGCTGTCGGTGCTACTCGCCTTCCAGGATGGGGACCGCGTGATCCTCCCTGTGCCTGGTTGGAGACACTACAAGATATGGCTGCCAACCGATGTCAGTGGCGTTCTTGTTGTCAGTTTCTATCCAGATTGCCTGAGTGAATGTCTGGAGGTGTAGGCACCTCGGAATGATTGTGGTAAGCTAGCACTAAGTCCCTTCCCCGTCCACCTTTATCCTTTTCTTTACAATAAGGCTTTCAAAGAAGTCATGGTTGTACGGCAGTGAAGCATCGGTGTTGAACACTGATGTCATGCCATCGATGATGGTGGTGATGATGCAACTGCTTTAATGTGATTGGCTACTTCTTTGGAATGCCAACCCGATCTTGCAACAAAACAGATCTATTGACCATTGTTCGAGTGTCACGCTGCCTGAAGTAGGGTTTCATTTCATGTTATTAGCATTTCAGTGGTCATTGATTTTGTTGGCACTTGTTGATCTGATGCAGCACAAGTCCCCGTCAGTAGCCTGGGGCGCCATGGCAGCAGTCACTGAGGAGATGCGAACTGCTTCAGACACCAAGCGGTTTATTTTCGGCTCCACGACAGTTGTAGTGAATACGGTGTCAACAACTTCATCATCAACAACGCACCAGGTGAAGACACTGACGCTTCACTGCCGTCTACAGGTTCCGGCCTGCTTGATTCAATCCGACGCGATGATTCGTTGGCCTGTCCCAGATTGTTGGTTGACTGGTACTTGATCATACAGTCATGTCCCAGAAGTGTAGTGGCTCATCGCCAGAGGCGGTGGAATTCCGTTCTTTGAGCCGAAAATAGCAAGCAGCATCATGTGCTGGTTTAGCAAGATAGAATGAAAGGTTTAGAGCATTTTATGGGCGAAGTGGCCCAAGTGGTTAGAGCGCCACTTTACTGGCCGGAAGGTCCGTGGTTCGAATCCCTCTGCCTCTCGACTTCCCCTGTCTAGGCTAGGGCAACCTGGCAGTATCCCAGCCCTCGTGTAACCTTCGGGGGGCATGGCAGTTAGGCATCGAAAAGGTGCTGCAGCTGAACGATTATTCTTTGGCGGTGTACACGATCGCCGACGCTTCCTTTCGTACCTGACTAATTGCGTTCGACTAGTGTCCGGGATCTGACCGCATATGCACTGGCTTTTCGACTGTCTTCGGGAAATACATGCAACAGCACTGTGCCAGTAGCACTGCTGGATGTAGCTCAGCATGTATGTGACAGACGCGTTTGCATTCTTATGGCTGCGCCACTTGTGGCCCTTTGTGGGTAGCTGATTAGCGATGCTCAGCTAGCCTCGATCCGGAGGGTTCACCTTGTTTTTGTAATCTGGCTTCATTGCTGCGGTAATCAAGGGGGTACAGTGGCAGGAATCTAGTTTTTGAAGCTTGAACTTTTCCAGGAACACCAATGGATAGCAGACCAACGTAGGTAGCGAGTCTCTTACTGCGAGTAGTATTACGAGGCGGTTTGGAGGTGAATTTGTACTGCCTACTGCGACAGAAGTGTGAAGACAATAAGGCGTTTTATTCATATTTATGGGAGTAGCGATGCTGCCTTCCTCGAGGAGAAACGGGTTTGAAAAGGTCGGCCCTAAGAACTGCACACTCCGATCGTCCAACGGTTGACCGCGACCGTCAGTGCATTACTCAACACAACCAAAGTACTTTTAATACCAAAGCGTCCAGTGTTGCCCAGTAGGTATCTGCTTTGCGTAGCTGTATTTGAAGTGAGACAGTGCCTTATCCCCTGCTCCCTCGGGCCAGGCCAGCCTCCTGCATCCGAGCCGTTAGAACCCTTGAGTCATTGACTCCTGGACGGGTCCATCAAGATAATCTTAAAAACCTTTACCTCCTGGCTCAGATTTGAAATGGAATTCAACTAAATCAGAATATAAAAGGAGCTAATAGTTCAATACAATATCAGTGAGTGACTGAAAAGTAGAAATAAGGTTCCAGTGTACAAGGCAAATTGTTAGCAGAGTGGATTTGTTCGTTTGGGGCAGTCCCAACAGTTAGACTTTTGAGTTAAAGTCTCAAGGCGGGTTACTTTATCGGAACCCCATCCTATGCCTTGACAACCGGCAAGTGTCATTTGTCCCTACAGATTTTCATTCCTTGATTCCTCCGCACACCTTCCTCACCTAAGTGTTTCTAATCCATCTAGCTATCAATTACCTAGCCTTTTTTGTCTTCCATTCTGTAAGCATACAATATCTTAGTTCGGTTGTACTCCCATCAAACAGCCCGGGACGAACACAAATTTCTAGCACTTCATTCTTCGGGTGTCTGATGATCCTGGTGCAACGGGTCATCCACGGCCTGGCATTTATACTCAGTTCCAGGGCTTAATGTATCTTACTGGACTGGATTCCAGTGAACCATCGTCTTTGTGTTGTTAGGCTGAATGTTTCAATGAAGACCAATGCATCTCGACGTGGCAAGTGGTGTTTGTGTTTTATCACCGTACACTCCGACAGATGGCAACTTCGAGGCTGAGGAAGACAGCCTCTATCGCGATTCGTCACGGTTGCTTCTGTCAGCAGCAACTACAGATCTGGTGATTCTGGCAGCTTGGCCGAATAAGTTGCGAAGGAGCCCATCTAGACATCCGCCCACCGCGAAAACAGTGAAGAACGACTTCTTCAGTTTTGTTTCTAGCCGGCACAAGCGATCACACCATGTGACTTGGAGGCCCCCGACTGCAAGCCAGCCGTGGACTCAGGTGCACCATATGGCATTCAGATTGCTCAGTGATTAGCGCGACTTTACTTATCGAGTCCGAGCTCTGCATCTCGAATCCCCCTGTCTAGGCGTGGTAAACCTGGTAATATCCCAGCTCTTGTGCTTCCTTTGGGTGGCATGGTAGCTAGGCACCAAAAGGGTGTTACGGCTGAACGATTATTTATTTATTCAGCTACCGGTGGAGAGCTTCCATACAAGATCGTAGTTCATTTCAGAGTACGCCAATTGACTCTGAGCTCGACCTAAAGCTGCCACCTTGACGTGGTGTTCGGGTTTGAGTGCTGCAATCATCCCGCGGGCTACACTGGCTGGAACTTCGTTCCACAAGGTCTAACCATGCCAGGAAGGCCAAAGGAGAGCAGCGAGGCCCCGCACTACGAGTAATCGTGGTACGAGGCGGTCTGGGGGTAAAGTCGTACTGTCCTCTGCGACAGGACTGTGAAGGCAGTAAGGTGTTTCCCCCAGGCGACCAGCATGTCCATATTTATGGAAGCAGCGATGCTGCCTTCCCCCGAGGAAGGACGGGTTAGAAAA